GATCTGGAAGTCTGGCTTTGAGACTTATTTACATGTTTTCTCATTTCGACTGGGGCAGGGGGCTGTTAGCACCTGCATGGATTACCTCCTCTGAGCTGGGAGAGGTGGGACAGGGGCGGGGAGCAGCGGTAGGGATGGTGACCCAAAAGCCCTTTCCTATGGGCTGGGAGCAGCGGGAGGAATGGTGGCCGGGAAGCCCCTTCCTGTGGACCAGGAGCAGTGGGATGGCGGCTCAGAAGCCCCTCCCTCTGTGCTGGGAGCGTTGGGAGGGATGGTGGCCTGGAAGCCCCTTCTTCTGGGCCAGGAGCAGCGGGACAGAAGGTGGCCCAAAAGCCCTTTCCTCTGGGCTGGGAGCAGTGGGAGGGATGGTGACCGGGAATCCCCTTCCTCTGGACCAGGAGCAGTGGGACAGCGGCTCAGAAGCCCCTACCTCTGGGTCGGGAGCAGCAGGACTCACTACCTTGGTCTGGTAGTCTGTTGTCCTCTGCGCCTTTGAAGCGTGGAACCAGGTGGCTGCCTGTCTGCAGTGGGGTGATTCGGCGTCTTTCGTGGCACTTGGGACCTCGGTAGGGCGTGGGCAGACCTGCCTGTCTGCAGCGGGGTGATTTGGCGACTTTCACGCGACTCTAAACATTTATTTTTAAAACCATGTTTTATTTAATAGATGAGTTCCTTAGAGGTAAATGAATTTTTATATATTAAACATTTTTCTAATAACAAATTAAGGTGTCAAGCATCTAATCATTTCCAGTTGGCTTTTGGTTAACATTGGCACACAATTTTTGTATTTTGGTTTCTTGAATTTTATTAGCATGATGTCATCAAGATCCTTGACTGATGAGGTCTAATGCGATATTGAGACAGTTAAAGTCCTTGCAGATTAACATAGCGTGAAGTTCAAGTAATTCTGAGGCAAGATAGCACAAGTGTAATTTTTTCTGTACTAGTGAAAGCTCATTGGATCGGGTGTTCTCTGATTATTGGGTAGAGAAAAAGCGTATTTCCTACACCACTACCTGCTTCCCAGTGTCTGTTTCCTCAGTAAAGAGATCATATCTGGGGCAGTAGTTACAGTTAGGAAACACCCCCTCCTCCCATATTAAGTTTGTAATTATCCATGATGTTTTCCAGGACCCATATGTCTTAGTTTAAATAAGTAAGTCAACAGTCCAGTCACCCCCACACACACCTACCCACTCTTCCCAGTATATCTTTCAAGGTTTTGCCGGTGACACAAATTTCTGTGGCTTTTATAAACATACAGAGTTGCTTTGCATTTACTCATCGAGTGGGGAGAGGAAGCTTCAAGGACTTTCGCTTGGCCCCTACACTGTAGTTGCGCTCAGAAGGAACACCGCTTCCTGCTTGATAAATCTAACTCAACTGTGCATGTAGGAACTAGGGAACCACTGGGTGGGTTCAAACTATGGCCACTGCAGGGTGGACTGACTGCTGTGAACTTGTCACAGTTGTGTTCTAGGCCCTAAAGGATTAGCGTTAACTACCCTCTAACTCTAAAAGACAGGTATTTCTTTCCGCAGGATGCAAATACCTGGTAAATGGTTACATTTACTTCTTTGGAAAAGACCTGAGAAGAAAAGTTATGTTACATACTTGTGTTATTGCAGAGTTCTTCCTAAGTGATACTGGCTTTGCTTTATTTTTTGTTTTGTTTTGTTTTTGGTACTGGGGATTGAACTCAGATCCTTGCGCTTGCGAGGCAGGCAGCAGTGCTTTATTTTTGTATTTAAGAAGTTCTGAGTCTTGGAAGTGCCTTAGCGGTGGCATTTGGGTGAGAGACTGAGGCATCTGCTCTCTTAATCGAAGATTTTTTTTAAACTGTTGCACGTATGTAGTTTGAACTTAGCTGGCTGGCCATCTAATTTGGCCCTAAAGTTTCATGGTCAGTCTTTCACTTAAGATCTGCGCCAGCCTAGCCCTTCTAATTCTTGCTCTAGCTGTGCTTACTGCAAATAACTATGCTCATCTTGCTCTCAGGAGCTCAGTGCTGCTAGACTCTCCTATCCTGAGTTCTAATTTTATAGGAAGACTGCCACATTTATGCAGGACATCTACCATAGCACTTCTCTCATATACAATGTATTTCTCAAAGCCTTGGTGTCCCCTGGGGCCTGCTGGAGGACAGAGTGGAGGGAGTACTTGCAAGGTTGTAAATGATAAATTAACAATAGCCTTTTTGTTCTAAGTTGTTGGATTCCTTCCTCCACATTACACCAAGGAATTTCTGGTATCTCAACTTTGTTTAGTTTTGCATGTGTTTGAGTCCAGGTTTTAGTCCAGCAGTTGAGCAGATAATTTAGAACTGTCTGCAACTGCTTGAGTTAACACTGTGAATCAAAATTTTCTGGTGAGTATCTAAATTCAACCTGATTTAAATTATGATCCAATTTCTTTCAGGCTTAGCACCCTTATAATCTCTTTCTTCATGGGATCTCAAGCTTTCCATCTATAAATTAATAAAAACTTGCAGGTTTTTTTGGGGGGGGTACTGGGGATTGGACACGGGACCTTACACTTGTGACGTGGCGGAACCACTGAGCTAAATCCCCAGCCCTGCAGTTTTTTTTAAAAATAAGATTATTTATACTTCTGGAGGCAATGAGGGATGGAAAGGTGTAGTCATCATCACAGTGTCTTCAAGCAAGGTAGCATCTGTCTTATCAGATAAAGGATGGCTGCCTCTGTGAGTATAGGATGCTCAGTACTATTTGGAGCTTCTGTTGTCCTGAGTCATCCCAAATGTTCCTATTTAAATTCTTGGGTCTTGTTTTCTTTCACAATCAATGCCCTCTTCTATTCCTGGCTGTTTGAATTGTTATCTCTCAGAAACTATTTTATCACTTTTGGTTCCATCTTCAGACTTGACCTGAAGTATTACCCATACCGTGTCAGAAATGCAAAAGAGCAGCATCCAAAGTCACACTCAGAAGGATATCCCTCTTTTAAAAGATGTCACAGAAACTATACAGCTTAAAAACCAAAAACGCATCCAACCTGATTTAAACCAAACATTCAGGGTTTTTTTGTGTTTTTTTTGGTACCGGAGATCGAACTCAGGACCTTGTGCTTGCGAGGCAGGCAACAGCACCACTGAGCTAAATCCCCGGCAAACATTCAGTTTTTGATTGCCAGTTTACATACATGAGGGACTTTAAAGTCTCATTCTGGCTTAGTAAAGGGTGGTTTTCCTGGCTACCATAGCATCTTTGGCAATGACACGCTGTTTATGTGAAGTTACAAAGCATGCAATGACATGTTTTTTGCTGTCTGTTGAAGTTTACCAGAATTGAGTGGCAGACATGGGTAGGAGAAAGTCAAGGATGAGTAGTAACAAGTATAAGATTAGCTTAAATGATGAGGTAGCTCTGAATTATGGACATACAGGAATAATACCCAAACTTGTTAAGCGAATGGGGGACAATTTGTGTGTGTGTGTGTGTGTGTGTGTGTGTGTGTGTGTGTGTGTGTTTGAGGCAAGGTCTCCCTTTGTAGTTCAGGTTGGGCCTGAACTCACTCTGAACTCACTATGTAGCCCAGGCTGGCCTCAAACTCATGGTGATCCTCGTGCCTCAGCCTCCCGAGTCCTGAGGGGACAATTTTTAATTTCTGAAATGAATGGGCCAAGCATGGTGGCGCATGCCCATAATCCCAGCACTCAGGAGGCTGAGGCAAGGAGAAACACATGAGTTCAAGGCCAGCCTCAACTTTAGGAGACCCTATCACAAACAAACATGAATGGGGCATCTGAAATCAGTTTTATTTGTGAGCTGAGATGTTCTTTGGTTAAGAGATAGTTCTTGTTAAATTGTGTCCTGCCCCTTCTTGTATAAATTTCTCAGCCTGGGAGTCCCAAGTTCCCTGACCATAACATTAAAAAAGGGACAGGACTGGAATGGAAGGGAAGGGGAGGGGAGGGGAGGG